GTAGTATTAATAAGATGAGAAAGCAAACGGGGGTTACCAGAGATATGATCCGATGCACCAGAATCAAGAACCCAAGACCCTTGAGGAGACAACTGAGTGAGCCATGCAACTGATTTTCCCGACTGAGCGATGGAAGCAGCAGATGAAGAAGACTGCTTATTTGCCGAGAACTGGGGATATTCGTCATAATCAACACTCGTAAGAGTCAAGGATGGCTGACTTGGTTCTTCAGAAGTTTCAGAATGATGATCAGGATAAGCGACATTGGCAACCCGAGAAGGACGCACATGTAATTTGTAGCATTTTTCCCGGATATGCTCCCATCTATGACAATAACTACACTTGGGTCGACCTCCCCTGCCACTACAATCCCCCTGTTCTCTTTTAACAAAAGTTTAAGACTGAGAGGCTAGGACAGAAGAATCAACTGGGGAAGATCCAACCACAACACCAGGGGAGGAGACTCGAAGTAATCGAGCAAAAACTTCATCAAGAGAAGGCATAATAGCACTTGCCAGAATCTGATCTCGTACTGGAGTGAGAGCAAGAGTGATAGCGGCAAGAGCAAGAACCATAAAGAATTTGTCTCGTTGTGCCAGATCTTCTGCTTCAGACTTGCCAGCGGGTAATAACAAATTAAATTCTGCCTTGAGAGAGGCCATCCTGCCAAGAAAGTTAGACATGCCCATATCTTACTGTTTGAGATTAACCAAATTGGACACAACAAAATAAAGTCTTTGGATATCATTAGTATAAAGCAATTTAGCCTGTCGCCATACCTCAAAACAGGTTCGATATATTTTATAAGTAGAATGAAGGTGAGGGTCAATAGACTGCCATAATAAACCACATACCAAAGCATCTGTCTTTACCTAGGTAGTCTTATCATCCATGACATCTTCAGCCTTAGTGGTCAAGTGATCCACCAGACCATGTCCTATACACCACAATTCAACAGAGGCAGCCCATGAGGAATAATTGGAGATGCCTATTAATTTTTCAGTTGTGATAAGAGGAAAAGACAAAAAAGAAATAGAACCTGATTTGGTTTTGGATCCTTCAGGGAGCATGATTGTCTTGTGGGAGAGATTGAACTCATTTGGGCTGAAAAACAAAACTAATTCTGGGCAGATCGGAAAAAGAGGATATTCTGGCGGTAGTGGGCTATTTCTGGCGCCGGTGATGACAATGCATCGTTGGACGGTGATGGGTGTGCTCGCCGGTGGTGTCTGAGTGCACAGGTGCCGGTGGTGAGACCTCACGTTCGTCGGAGAAGGTGATCACAGAAGAAGCTGTCGGAAAGAAGACCGGTGCGTGGAGGCGCGTGCGGTAGTGAGTAGCGATGAAATTTTCAGGTTTGTCGGCGAGGAGAAGACGAACAGGCTGGTGTGGTTAGAAGAGTGATTCAACACCAGAAGGAGATAGCCTGAACTTCGCAGGGAAATATCGCCAGAAAAAGAAAAGAAAATTTTTGTAGGGTTTCTGATTTCTTAGCTCTGATACCATGTGAAATCAGAAGAATTTTCTTCATATTGATTGTGAACAAAATACAACAATATATACAAATTCAGCAGTCCCTATAAGGAAATGAAATAATCTAAACCAGGGAAGGGAATGATCTAATTTCCTAATCTAAAGATCATATTCCTAAAACATTTAATTTGTACAACTCAACAGTATATATCAATATACTTATCATCTTTTTGGGTTTTGGCTGTGTCTTCTACTGTTTTGCTGGTTTTTGCTATTTGGCTTGCTGTGCAATTGTTGCTTGGTTCAGTTGTGGAAGAGGGTTCCATCACAATACAAGTTTATATAGCATTTAACGTTATATAATTATTTATATAAAGTTTTCAGTTATGGATCAGTACTTGTGTTTCAAGGTAAACGAAAAGCATATGATTCAGTTCTATAGTTTTAGAGTGATATCTTATTTAAAAAATTATATCCACTTATTGGGCTTTAGCTTTCACCCTTTCATCTTGCACTTTGCAAGTTTTTGCGCGGTTTTGTGCATTTAAGATTTTGAGTTATTGAAATTGGCCTACGTGATGTTTATTATAGAAAAGTTGTCTTTGGGCATGATGGACATAGTTATACATATTAAATTCATCTTCAACTACATCAATTGACAAAGAATAGTCAAAGTAGTCAGCATTTCACGAGGTCGTCCTAGATTTCGAGCAGGGAATCAAGATGAGTCCTGTCGTCATGGATAGATAAGTTCAGTATGTTTAATTGTTTGAGATTCGAAAGTTTTAGAATTGGAAGTTTTGCTAACGTCGTCGGCTCAAGTTGTGTTGGTAGGCATGGTGGATTCAGGGTGTTATAGTTTTAGCCTTTATAAGTAGTAGGGCCTTAAGTTATAATTTCAAAATAATTTCAAAATAGATATAAAAGAAATAAGGATGTTTTTGATGTTTTCCTTAGCTGGTTATGATGATTTTCAAAGCCAAGGAAGCTTATCAAAAGTTTTTCCTTAAAAATAATATGGAAGTCTAATCTCAATCTCTCTCTTCTAGTTCTTTTTCCCTTTGATTATACTTTTTTCCTATTTTATGATTTTTTCTCTTTATTACCTTTCTAGTTCTTCTGCCCCTTCTCTGTTTTCATCCCTTCCTATTTATTATAATGCATCAAGTGGTGCCAAAGTTGTTCTAATTCCTAATGCTTCCCAAACACAATAGATTTTCTTCCTTGAAATGCATCTGCGTCACTGAATCAGTGGTCAAACTCTCTCACCTCACAGTATATACCTGCAAACTTAGAGCACCTGAACTCATTCCCGAAGGCCCTGGTTGCCTTTAATGTTGAATGACTTCTATTCGTCATTGTTGATCCAGAGGGTCTGCTAGGTGTTTTCACTAGATCCTTCCAAAATCATCCATAGAGCTATAATTTTCGGCACTACCTTCGAATATGATAAGTACCAATTGATGACCTTGGTCAACCTGAAGATCTTTTCGCTGTCTTTTTCGAACAGTTCCTTTACATCAGTTGTTACGGTGTGTTTTAAGGTTAGACACCTTTTCAAGCTCATTAACAACTGCCCCTTGTGAATGTTTCTATTAAATTAATTAGTGTGCATTGATCCTTTGTCTGGGCTCCTCTTCTTCCAATGAGCTTAAAAGGGTATCTGATCTCAAAACACACCATAAGGGGCAGTTGTCAATGAGCTTGAAAGGGTGGCTGACCTGAAAACACACCATAATAACTGCTGTAAAGGAAGTGTTCGATCAAGAGAGCAGAAAAATTCCTTTTTATATTATTTTATTTTTTATTCTCTTTAATTTTGTTAATTTTTTTAATATTTTTCACTTGAGGGTTCGTCTCACATTTCAACCTTGACATTGGATATTTAGAAGAAACTGATGCAGTTTTAATCTCAGAAGTTTAATCTACGTTGCTTTTAGTAAATTTAATAAAATTACCTTTTGACATCATGCTTTATCTACTTTTTATGTTTGTTCCTCACTTTCTTTTTAAACATTCCATTAGTACAGTGAAGTAGTGAACCTCTTGAAAATAAGTAACTTATTTATCCTTCTTAGATATGCTCTTGTATCTGTTCTTATTTTATGGCAGCAAACTCATTTTATCAGATCAGCCATTGTAGATTTCAAATACAAATCAAAATTGTGATGAATATTATATTTTTAATTGTGTTTTTGTGATGATTTCTGTACAGAATTTATATTATAATTATGTATATTTAATTCTAGATTATGAATATAAATAGAATTTTCTGTACAAATAGAAAAATGAGCACATGAACTATGTTTCATTTGTTGGTATCAAGATGGCATTAGGCGTAACATATATCATGCATATTATTTATTGTAAAAATGAGATTCGGTGTGAATCTGCAGCAGGATTCTTGAATTAGTTTGCTTTTTGGGATGTTTTAGAGAGTTTGGCTTGGTGGGCTTGAATCAGGGCCTTGCCAAGGGAAATGGACTTGTCACTCTTTGGCCCTTTTTGGTAGAAATTTAAGATCCACTCAGGTGCACCTGATGACATATTGTGTCATCATTTTCTTTTCCTCTCTAGTGGCCAATATAAACACATCCCATACTATTGGTCATACAATTATGAATAAGTCTATCCTTACAAAGACTTATACAAAGAAGCCTACAAAGTGAAGAAAAAAACACAAAAAAAAAAAACGGAAAAAGAGAAAGAGAGAGAGAGAGAAATTATGAAGATCAAGGATGGGGATTGTCTTTGTATGCTTCCTTTGTATTTGTCTTTGTAAGACTAACACTTCTTTACACTTATTCCCTATCATTTCATTGGTTAAAACATATCACCATGGCCTTCAATTGGTGGAGGCCCACCTCTTTATTTATAGTTAACTATAGAACTGTCTGGCTAAAATTCGCTATCATCTTGAAGATTAAGATTTTTTTTTATCAACTTTCTCTGCCTAAAAATGATATGTTCATTCATTCTTTACTTTTCCTTCTTTGCCAAGAAATGATTTTTTCCTTACCTTATTATGTCTTATGCAAATATACTGATGTAATTTCTGCCTCATTATTAGAAGTTTTCTAAAATTTCTCGGTTCCTCTCTGCAGCTTAAAACTGTATATACAAGCGCTTAGACTAAATCTCAATTCAAGATTTCAAACCTGATTAATTGATCACCAAGAGCTGTATACCTTATTGATAACCTAAGGCATCTTGGTGCTGAAGCACATTTCTTTGGTATATAGATTCTCAAGATGGTCAGTGAACTTCAGCCTCTGCATATGATGGCTGTTTTCATTCTTCTTTGGGGTGTATTATTGAATTATTGGAATGCCAATCTAGAATTTGCAGCATCTCATTAACATGAAGGCCTTATGTTTCACTCCACTTTTAGATACATTATCCAAGTTGATTTTCCTGAATGCTCAATGCTTTCTTTTTTTGTACTGGTTTTTTTGTTGGTTTTTGGTTTAAAATTTTTTGGAGTTATTAAGAGTTCACTATTTTCTTCATTTACCTTTCATTGGTAGGTTTAATGCGACTGACTTTTTGGAGAGACTAAGAGGTAAAAGGCTAATGCTTGTCGGAGATTCCATGAATCGAAATCAGTTTGAGTCACTATTATGCCTCCTCCATGAAGGCCTGGCTGATAAGAGCAGAATGTATGAGATTCATGGCTACAAAATAACAAAGGGAAGGGGATACTATGTATTCAAATTTCTGGTATTTCAAACTTAAAACTTATAAGCTCTTATTTATTTTTATTTTTTAAATTTGTGTTCAATCAAAACTCTTGGTCTTGAATTTACTTCCTTAATGAAATGTCTTCTCTTTTTTAAAGCATTGCATTTGGGTGTGATTATGATTAGAATTGTAGTGGGCAGATTGTTACTTAGATCTTTGGACTTTTTAAACAAAGCAAAAGTGGTGTGACCAGAGTTTTTACTTTACCTTCGCCAGATTTTGCTCAAATGCAAATAACAAAATGAATATTTCATGATTTCATGACAAATAATGTTTTTTTTTTTTTTTTTAACATTCACATTTAAGCATCACTAAGCACACACAACAGTTCGTTAAGACTCCTAACGTTTTGAGGTTGACTTAGAAGAAGTATGTTGAATTAACAAGTATTTGTTGATAATTTGCAAGTTCTGTCAAATACTGGGCAGGACTATAATTGTACCGTGGAATTTGTAAGATCACATTTCCTTGTGAAGGAAGGCGTCCGCCGTAATGAATATGGCAGTTCAAATCCAACTCTTTCAATTGATCAAATTGACAAGACAGCTAAACGATGGAAAGGAGCTGACATTCTTGTGTTTAATACTGGCCACTGGTGGGTTCATGGAAAAACAACCCGGGGGTACGTCTTCAATCTTCTTTCTCATAGTTAGAAACTCAGCTAATTCGGTTCCATAGAGCCAAATTAGTTCAATCAGTATGGTGGTTCTAGTCATTAAACTTCGAACACCAGTTTGGCTCTGTTGCTGGTGACTAACTGTGATCAGAAAATCTTAAGAATAGATCTTGCAGCACTTCAAAATCGCTACCATTAATTTTAAGCTTTTTAAAATGCTAAAATATATATATATATATATATATTTGTATGCACACTCAAGCACACATTTATCGTCCATATTCTTTAAAAAGTTTATTTTTGTAGTGCTTGGAATATGATTGTACTACTGCTAACTGTCCAACTGAGAGGTATAAGGTTGCATCTTGTTTTCTTTCAAAATGAACTTTTCTAGAAAAGTAATTAGCATTTGTTTAATGCAGGAAAAATTACTTTAAAGAAGGTGATTATCTCTATCCAAAGTTTGATGCAGGAGAAGCTTACCGAAGGGCTTTGAAGACCTGGGCAAAATGGATAGATAGTAACATTGAACCATCAAATCAGTTGGTTTTTTATCGTGGATACTCTTCTGCTCATTTCAGGTAGTCTTGTACTTCTAATTTTCCTCCAACAGGAATTGTATCTTCTATTTCCCTACAATCTTAAATTTTCAAAGCTTAGTTAATTTTGGTTTGATTACGTGAAATTTGTTTCTACCTTATCCTTCAATTTTTTGGAAGGCCATTACATGAAGAGACATAAGAAAGATGGTAGTAGTAATCTAATTCAACAGCTGTGCTGGTTATGGGTGTAAGTGTTGCTGATTCACTAAAATTGTTTGAAATAGAGGTGGAGATTGGGACTCTGGTGGTTCATGCAAGGGAGAAACTGATCCAATATTGAGTGGAGCCTTCCTGGAATCCTATCCTTGGAAAATGAAGATATTGGAGGAGGTGATACGAGAAATGCAAGTTCCGGTGATTCTATTAAACGTGACAAGGTTGACCAATTTTCGCAAGGATGGTCATCCTTCTATCTATGGCAAGAATGCAAGCGAGGGGAGAAAGGTTTCAACAAGACGTCAAGACTGTAGCCATTGGTGTCTTCCGGGGATTCCTGATGCTTGGAATGAGCTTATTTATGCCACACTGGTTTTCGAACAAACTCCTGGGAAAAGTTAAATTGTGTTGTACAATCAATAACAATAGCTTTTCCTCATTTCTTCTTCTTTTTTTTTTTTTTTTTTTTTTTTTTCCAAAAGTTGGGTTGTACAAGATGGTAAGGTTAGATAGTCAAGAAAAGTTACATTTGTTCCACTAAATATTATATTTACAGTGATTTTAAACTTGACATTTATAATTAAATATAATATAATGAAATTGCCTAATAAATTGGTGTAGAAACTATATGGGTTGATGATTTTCCTTGAATTCCTTCTATGATAATATATTTGTCAAAAATGTCTACATATTTAGAAGATTTTTATTTTAATTCTTGAAGAGTAAATATTAATAAATTGGAAAATATCTGTTTACTGACACGAATAAAACTTGTGTCACTTTTCTTTTTAGATTTTAAAATGTCCTCCAAATGATAAGAACCCCAAACTATGAAGAAAGATGTTACAATCTGGTCTACTTATGCAATATATTAATGTGCTAATTTGGACATTGATAATAATGATAATATATATAGAAAGATAAAAACAATTAAGATTATTGATAGTGAGATATGATGAGAAATAATACCGAATTAAGGATGGTGTGCAATTTGAAGCTGTCTTCCAGCAAGCTTGCTTGTTCTTTTGTGAGCCTGTGCTTCTTTCTCCAGCTATAAATTTTGTTGTGATGAGAATAATCAGAACCGTTAACATCCATAAGTTCCTCTTTGGGCTTGTTATTCATTTGTGATCTTCCACCAACACCAACCGCAAGACAAATCCCTGTGTTCATTCTTCTTCATTTCTCATTATCATATTTTTGTTTTTTTGAGAGTAGAGAGAAGTGGTCAATATAATCGGGGATTGAAAGAGAATATTTAGAAAATAAGAATTTAAATATTAATAAATAAAAGGGATTCATTATTGAATCAGTTATTAATAAGAAGGTAATTTTATAGTACTAATTAACCACAATTGGAGAATACAATAAGAAAGAATAAATGCGCGCATGCGTTACTGTGACTCCATTTTGGAGACCAAATTAATACATCCTTCTTGATAATATTCTTTTAAATTGTCTTATTTCCATTTAAATTAAGGTGCTAATTTTTAATTTAGCTAAGGATTTACAAACATGACAAAAAACTTTGTGTACAATATTTTTTTTTTTTTTTTTTTTTTTTTGTTGTTATGTAGTAGTATTCCTAATTAAAATATTAAACACTTCATCGAGTTACCTTTGCCCTTTGAGGCATAGTTTAAATTAATTATTTTTTATTTTGGTTACTTGGAAATCAAGATATTTGCAGTCTCTTAATTAACACCAAAAAGTATCTCTCACACGTTAATAGATACATGATTTAAATATTCATTATAAAACCTACAAACATAATAATATATAAGAGAGGAAAAATTGATACATGGTATGAATTAATTGGCTTATGATATAATTAACATACATCACATGATCAAAAAAAGTAATCAGGTACATGTCATCCCTTCTATACTTTTAACTCCTATTTGTCGAACTCCAAGTGCAATTTTTGGATTAGATCATGCTCTTACTATTTAAGACTTTTACAGTTTTTATCATAAATTTATTTATGTCAATTAATTAAGAAAAACACAGATTCCTAATTTATCCCAAGATCATATGAACATGTCATTATTGCAATCACATTTCATAAACAAACTGTAATAAAAGGATCACAGCATAAATATCTCATTTTTTTCAACGGAAGTTGAATCACAAGTACAAACCACCATCTTCCTTAATTACTGTAAAATTGTGAAAAAAGAAAGAAATAAGAGTTAAGAGAGTAAGAGAGTTTTTCTTGAATAAAAACTTTCTTATATATATGCGGCAAGGCAATTGCTATGTAATTGGGTGGGTTCCATCATAGGTGTCCCACCCAAATCTAATATCTCCCATTCACATATAATGGGACTATTTTCCTCTATACTTTTTCATGGTTCATACTTTAGTAAATATAACGTGTGACCGTACATGAATCGAAAGCATATTAGTCATATATCTGTTAGGAATATATAACTTTTTGAATTGTGAAACTTGGGTTATATATTGTATGCAATACCTTAGATTACTTATCAAATTTTCCTCTAACGATCTCATATATAATAAACATCTGTTGTATTCATAATTAGGTTTTGTCTTTACATAAAAAACAAAACATAATGGTTAATCAATGAATACACATGATTGTAGTGTGATAATCCAAACATTGTAATCTTTCTCTTTTCTCGATTCTTGCAACCTTCATTTAATTTGTTTTTTCAGCAATGTCCCAACAGGTTGAATTTATCTTAATCTTTTGGCAACATTCTAAGATAGCAATCATTAAACAAAGTTTTCAAGAAACAGAATAGAGTAATAAGGGTACTCAATGAGATTTTATTCTTATAATCTCAAGGTCTCACACAATGCTAAAGTTGAGATTTAGACTTTTATTACCCTTTTGATCAATATTTTTGCACATGTGGTATGAATCACATGCTACGACATTTCCTCCTTTCCCATGGAGTGCATATTTTTTTTTTTTTTCCCTTAAAAATGCCATACAGTTTTAGTTCAGACATACCTAATGTGTAGCTTGAGTTCACTCTACATACTTTTAATTCATCATAACTCTAATCTAGCAATTAGACAGATAAAGTAATAAATTTTGATGATTTATCACTTATGGTCATACTTTATTATGACGTTAAATATTTTAAGCTTGGCTCTCTACTATCACCTAAATAATAAGCTTAAAATCGTTTCATCTCCATTCCTACAAAGTAATGGAGGTGATTGGCTGTGTGAGAAGACCAATCTTTTAACTGTCCAACATGCTTTTCAAAATAAATGTATATATATTTACATAACAATAAACGAAATTGAACATTGATAATATTGTTATTTAATATTGATAAGATAAACGTGAACATTTTGGGAAATCTCCAAGTATGAGTACATTCAACATCTACGTAAGCCTAGAGATCTAATATGTCTATTAAATGTATCTCTTGGTATAGGCTTTGTAAATGGATCTGTAACGATGTCATGCATAGATATGTACTTCATGCTCACCTCTTTTTGTGCCGCCAAATCTCGCACAAAATTGTATTTCGTATCTATGCGTTTTGTTTTTTGTATCCTTAGTGTATGCTATTGTTGCTTGACTATCACAGTTTACTCTCACTAGTTCAATAGTAACATTAATTATTCCTAGATGATTCATGAACCGTCTCAACCAAACGGCTGATTGCACTGTAGCTGAAAATGCTACAAACTCAGCCTCCCTTGTAGAAAAGGCTATACATTCTTGTTGTTAGGATAGGTGCACTAGAGTCAATAATATTAGGACATTTGTAATAATATTATTGAATATCAATAAATGCATAATTTATATATCATAGCATTCATTTATATATTCGTATATATATTGATATATGTACTTAGAAGGGTTGAACCGTGATGAGAGATTTAAGTGTTTTAAATCTTAATTGTGAAGACCCTATGATCACATATAGTGGTCATTCTAGAACTGTCCGTAGCCCCAGTATTAATCTGACTAAGGACATAGATTATATTGTAAGGCTATCATAGCATTGAACGACCCTATCAAAAGGTAGTGACAGTTCTCACATGTCAAAGTTGTTACGTGACAACCTGGTGTGATGCATGAGTGCTTGCTAATGACAAGTTCACTGGATCAACCCACCGAAGGATTCCACACAAGATGGTAACACCAGTGTTTGTGGAATATATCCTTCAATGGATGGTGGTGCATGTGATCACTCGACTTGACATCACCAGAGCCATGTGTGTAATTATTAGTGTAATTTGACACTAGCCTAATGTAATCCTATTTGGGGTTATCAATACGGTAGTCATTAGTTACATCGAGAAGTACACTATGGCTATGATGGATCAACAAAGGATTTATCACTCCTGCTTACATGAGAAATTATCTTGCTGAGATATTTGGTAAGGAACCACGACCGCAAAATCTGTGGCCATAGTGGAATCAAGTTGGTACTCGAATCCAATTTATATGGTCGTTGATTCAACACCCAAATATAAACATATTAAGGTACATTCATTGAAATTGACCCTACTTCTGTACTTCAAACCTCGATGGGATAAATGATGATGAAAAGATTGGAAGTGCATGGTAACCATATTGTTGAAAGATAGCTACTTCGCTGAATCTTTATTTGTTAGGTAATCATGATGCCTTGCTAGAGGCCAATGTTGATTAGTGTACAGAACATTAATTAGTTGATGCTTAATTATAAATTTGGTCACTTCCACCATAATAAAGAGCCTACTGGTCACACACATTAAAGGTAGTTTTATTGAGAATGAAAATAAAGGGTAATTTCTTCTTTTGGATGAAAAAGGTATTTTGGCAATTTTGTTGTGCGATTAAATTCGCTGAAGGTCATTGCCAACATTCAATATTTATATTGAAGTTAATTTAGCAAAGTGTAATTATATTAACATTAATATAAAACATTAATATTAATATGGATTTAATTGGGAAGTATCCCATTCCAAAATAAGGAATAAAAATATTCCTATTCTTAATGGGGAATATTTTATTCCCCACTATATAAGAAAATGAATGGGAAAATTAAATAATAATAAGTTCATTATTTTCTCCCAAGCAAAAACCCTAGCCACCTATTAGCTTTTGAGAGAGAATTTCTTTCTCTCAATTGCGTGTTCTTTCTTCTTGCACCCAAGGATTCTAGCAAACTTCCTTGCGTGTGGATTAGCTTCCTAGCCTTTGTGTGGACTTCTCAAGAGCGATTCTATCTTGAATTGACTAGCGAAAAGCAAATCAAATAAACCCGAAGGAGCCTCCAAATGCAAGTAATAACAACAAACCTTGTATGGGTTGTTTTATTTTATAAACAGATTGCGTATATCAATCTTGATCATGGGATTAGCGTGTTAATTGAATAAAAAATTTGGCTTATATTCCGCATATTATTCAACCATAACCCTACAATTCTTTCTTACTGCTCCAAGATATGGCCCCACCATTCAGTAAGAATACATATCTAGAAGTAGATTTCCTTTTATCTAAATCTCCTGTCAGAGTATGTGCCCTAGAGCCAATCAATTATTATAAAATTGACTCTGTAATAAATGTTTATTTGTCAATAA